TATGTGCATGTACTTAGCATTAAATAATCTGCCCGTTATTTTCATAGTGAGATGTTCCCAAATGCAGGACAGCTAATCCAGTGCAGCATCACGATATGCATGCCTTGGCCAATCAAAGTTTGGTGGGACACAACCTGCAAAAGCAGCTGTCACCAGTATTTCAACCTCACTCGGAAAACTGATGTGTTGGGAGAGTAGATGCAGAGACAGAGAAAGTACATTCCTGTCTCCCCAGCTCCTCTTTGGGCATCACAGATTTAAGAGAGGGGCTACGTTAAAGACACCAGCTATAAATGGGTCCCTTAAATGGAGGAGACAAAATAGCCAGTCAAATAAGACACATTTTTCATTGGGCTAATTTATTTTTATTGTTATTTTGTGATAAAAACATTACAATTCTATTTTGTCACTTATTAACTGTCAAAAATTAATTGGTAAATTAGTTTTTTTTGTGATTACAAAGCTCAGTATAATTAGCTATTTAATGTGTATTTTAAAGTCAAGAGCTTTAACATTCTGTACTTTGGGTATCAACTCAAAGTAATCTTTACATAAACGGGGATCTACACATCCTTTGTCAGAAAACTGTATATCCTACACATCTGTAATGGTTAAATAAAACAGATATCAAACAAAGAAAGAGCACGATTCTTATACATTTTATGAAATGGCTTATGGGTAACTGAATGTACATTATCAAAAACAATTTGAATATTATCTGTAATATTTCCAAATCTAGTCAGAATATAAATTGGCACTTTTATCAAATGTTTTCTATGTACTCGAAAATCTACCTACATGCATTGATCATTTCTAAATCTGCTTAGTAGTTGTTGTTTTTTTTTAATTGAATAATATAGTTTAATTTATTATAATTTTGCACTCTGAGCCTTGTGAATACACAACATGATCAGACAATTCAATTAACTATTTAATCTTTCTTGCACAGAATGCGATATAATTCCAAGATGGCAACTTCAAAAATGTAAACATGTTTGATTGTCATGATAATTACAAAAAACCTACTATATCTTGTTTTGTAAAAATAACCAGAATCTGCTTTGAATATTATTTTCAGATGATTTGTGGAAACTAGTGTATGTGATAGTGCAGCTGTAATACACACTTGTTTTTAAAGGGGCTTGCATAACTTGACAATTATTTTTTTTTTTTCAAACCAGCAAACAAAATTTTTTAAACAAAGTTGAAACAGTATGTAAATGTTCATCAACTTAGTATAAACTTGATCCCATTGCATTTTTGGGTATGTCTCTCATCAAGAGAAATTTCTTCAGTCTCATCTCCCCCTCTACTCTTATCCAGCTTTCTCAGTTTCAGTCCTGTCCATTAATGACTGAAATTGGGCGTGCAACAGCAGGAGAGAGAAACCCGATACCCAAGCCTGCTCTGCAGGATCACACTGATCAGTCTCCCTCTCATTTCCCCCCTTTGAGGATGTTGCACGTTGAAGTGATCTTCCAAAATGCACATTGGTAAATCTGTCAGCAATGCCCAATGCTCTTTTCAACCATTCCTAGGGATAGGAAACTGGTTGGTTAGATCCATGTCCCCCCTAAAATAGGTGTGAAAAACAGAAGAAAAGAAAAATCATATTTACCTGCTTTTTTCAACCTTTAGAGTGAGGAAACTGTTTTATTTAAGGTCCAAGATTTTGAATAGACAGTTGTTTCCAAGTAAGTATGTCCTTTTAAATACATTGTTATTTCATCGAGCATGTATTTTGGATTCCCATAAGGTTAATTACTAAAGTGAGAATTCAAAATAAACTTTGTTTTCAGTTCAACCACTCTGGTCTTGAATTTGAAAAATTACTTTCAATTCTGAATTATTATTTTTTTGATAATCCTGCCAGTGTTGGTTTTGATATATATTTACAGGATTATTTACAAAAGTATAAATTATTGGGAATTCAATGTGAATTTCAAAAGTAAGCACAATCAGCCAGTGGACAAATAGTAATTTAAATTATTATTCACTTGGTAAAAAAAGCAAGTGAATGATAATTTGTGAATGTGCATCGTGCTGTTTGAATTTGTTTCTTAATTTTGCTAATGTCATTGCTTTGTGAATCTTTGGAATTCTAAAATTTGCAACCGGGTCGATTGCTACAGATTCAGTCCGTCCAACCAAATTTCTTTGTACTTGACTTAAATATGAGAATTACCACTGCAGTTGGAATTCAGTAATTTTCCATCTGGACAAAATTGGGTGTTTAGTGAATAATCTTGTTTGAACTCAAATTTCATTTTGGTGAATAGCTCTGCCAGCCTTGCATTTATTCCAAAAAATACATGTTCAAACTCACAAAGCAAACAAGTAGAAATCTAGAGTTATTATTTATTATCTTCAAAAACAAAAACAAAAAAAATTAAAAGCAAATGCAAAGTCTAGTATGTTTTTAATGTTTACCTGGGAGACTATATTTTTATTTGTTATTACAAAAACAAACATTATTTTAGAGCAGAGGTTCCCAACCCAGTCCTGAAGTACTCACTACCAGTACAGGATTTAGGGATTACACGGTTGTGTTCAATTTTATTTTTCTAAAAATACCTTAGATATAACTGGTTAATCACGAAATCCTGGACTGTTAGAGGGTACTTTTTTATAAATGAAGAGGAAAGTGTCTTCTACAGTAAAGGACGAATATCTTATTATGAGGATGAAGTAAAGGATACATGTCCCACCATTAGGATGTGTCTTTTAAGAACAACTGCTGTATTTAACACTGAGGTGGTTAACCTGGGACTTCTGTAAATTTTTCCCATGATGCCCTGCCAATCTTTATTACCAAGAAGTGATCCATTTGTTACAGTTTACTGTAGCAAATCAAACAACAATATCAACTCACTTATGATAGAGCTTTACCCAGCTCTAGGTAAAATAGCATGGAGTGATATACAATCCCCACTTGTAGGATATCCCAGTAGAATGATAGTAAATCACAACTGGATAACGATGAGGTAGATCATATGGAATGACAAAAAAGCAGCCAATAGTGCTCTCTATATAGATAGGTAAGTATAAACAAGGAAAATAGCCCCCTTAGGGCTTTCTCAAGTGGTAAAAACATATACCTGATATAACTGGGTCTATATAGGCTTTAAAACACTTAATTTTTTACACAAAAATAACATCATTAATCACTTGACCACATTTGCATGGCTTTTATAAGAGAATATATTTGAGCAATTAACAGAAAATATTTGTAGCTTGGGATTAGCCAATGCACCAAACCAGTTCTATTTTGTCAGTATATTTAAGCAATTATAAAATTTAACATAAACTCATTGTTTGTGTATTAAATTACTTTGAGTGTAAAACACAAAATGCATTATTATTAATATATTAATATTAAGTATGTTAATACATATATACTTTCTAGTTGATGGATTTCTATACTAGCGTATTGGATGTTGAGGTTCTTTCTATACTGGAGGAATGAAAGTTGTGATTGTTTCTACACTTGAGGAATGAAGGTTGTGGTTATTTGCTATATCATGTGAATGAAGGTTGGGTACTTTCTATAGTGGCGGAATGATGGTTGTGTTTTCAATACTGGAGAAAGAAGGGATCCGGTGCTCTCTTCTTTTTGCTTTGAACTCACAGTCTGTTTCTTAAAGCAAATCTCCTGTAGTCCTAAAATAAACATAATAAATTAACACAATTAAATGGAAATGGGGAAAAAAGCACCCTCAGCACTTCTTTTATAAGATGCCAGATACTGGCAATGAACAAAGTTAAATAACTAAATTGTTCTTTGTCATCATTACCTATTGTGATCTAAATATACAACATTTTGTCAAAGTACTGAATGTTCTCTTGCAAAGACTGACAGTGAATTTTAAACTCATATTTCGTTTCTTTGTATTTAAAGAATATTTCAGGATCATTAATGCACTCCATCTACATTGTTTTCAATAATTATACTTTTAGTCTGCTACCCTTTCAGTCCTGGAATTCAGGACAATGCAAGGTAGAATAAAGCTGTAATGTGTCCACGTACCTTCCTCTTTGCGCCAGATCTAGGTTAAAGGAATATTTTGCAGACCAATACAATCTCAAACATTGCTCACTTTCCTTTAATTTAATTTCTAGACAGCTCTAGTGGGGGATACTATACATTCTGTGACTTCCTAGCAGCACACCTATTGACTGTCTTTAATAAGGTTTAGTGATGTGATCCTTTTCACTGATGAAACCAAACAGGTGAATATCACTTTATTATTTAAAGAGTGTAAACCCCCAGAGGGGTTTGGTAATCCGATTTTGCTTATAAACACCAATGCCAAGCATCTTAGTATGATGCTTGAATCCAATAATGTGAAAATCAGTCTACACAACCAAAAGGGAATTATCAGAGAGAAGTAGCACGGAGGGCTGCTACCTTGCTTTAGCGGTGGCGAGATCAGGGACACCTTATCTGGTCCTTTCTCTGGACAATTTTGATTAATTTACTAAAGGAACATTGCCCAACTTTGTGTTAAAAGGACCTGACATACTTGAATATTTATTTAAGGGTCAGACTTTTTTTATATTCTTTATTTGTAGTGTGCAAGAGATTTCAAACAAGCTTGGTATGCCGCAACATAATGGACAAGCATTTGTTTTTAGATATACACACAGTTACATTGCCATGGCATATGAGAGAGATTGCACATTTTTATATTAAGAATATGTAAGCTAAACTATAACTTACAGCTGCATGACTTATGAAGATAATTAAGGCACAGTGCTTGTTCTGATAAGCAATTGATGCATCAGGATATAGTATAAGAAAAAGCAGCTCTTCAGCTATGAGGCAGGTTATAAAGAGGTTAATTACCACTGGTTCTGTACACAAGATCTGTTTGGCACAAGGTATTGATAAGAACAAATAAAAATAAAAGAGACATCAGGTCAACAAAAAAAGAGTACAGGAGCCCTCGGGAGAATGCTCTGCAGAAGTATCTTTGCTATAGCACCCTGAGTAGCTAACATCAGCCGATGCGCAATCTGCAGAGCTGCTGAGGCTGTACATGAACAGCCAGGATCCAAGCAGTGCCCAGTATTGCAGGTATCATGAATGTTCCTAGAGACCTTCCATGCCACTTCAACTCTGCTTTGGCAACAAGATAAGTGGGTGGTGGTGAGTGCAGAGCAGTTGGGTAGCCCATGGCTTGAGAGTGATTAGTAGTCACCTTCATCTCGGATACAAGAGCTCCCTGTTGGTCGATAGGATCTTCAGCCTCTGGTATTGGGGGCTGATATGGTATGTCAAGTCTAATGGGAGCTTTGTTGGTTACCTGCACGGCTGGGATTCCCTCTCGGTCAGCAGCAGGTGAGGGGCATTGTGTGGGCAGGGGAGTTGTGTTAAAAAATGTAAAAACTACCTATTTTCAAGAAAAGAAGATGATGAGCGGTGGTTAAATACTTTCTATGCCTCCTTACAAAGGAAGTAAGATGAGACTCTAGTCTTAAAACAGTTTATTCTCCAAATAGTTCTATAAATAAACAAAATATTCAGGCACATATATGTCATCAGTTTTATTTTTCTAAGTATCCCTATACAGCAGTCTACACACAAAACTATGGTTCATCCTGCATTTATGGGCTAACTTTAGTGCTGTAACTATCTACTCAATATTTACACAGAATCATTATGTAATTTAAAAGATATCTCTCTCTCCCTGCCTCTGTCTGTCCTTTCTATTCATGTATCTACTCTATTTTAGGATCTGTTTGTGTCCTTAACTTATGGGTTGCTTTTGTGTTTGTTTGGTTTTTGTGTTGACTAAATGTTGTTGCTCTTCTCTACAATTAGGGGAATGAACGTTGTGGTCCTTTGTAATACTGTGGGAACAAAGGTGTATCTTTCAATACTGGGTGACGGATCAATCTGATGCTCTCTTTTGATAGCCTGTTAGCCCGGTTTGTACTCTCAGTCTGTTCCATAAATCAAATTTCTTGTAGTCCTAATACAAACACAATAAGGAACCCTATTAAATATAACTGGAAATAAATGTCTTTTGAACTTCTTTTATATGATGAGTAAACAGAGGATACTGACAATGGGCCTAAATAAATTACACGTTTCAGAGTGCTAAATGTGCTCCTGCATCGACTGCCGGCAAATCCGCAGCTCGAAAAGGGCCATGGGCAACATCACACAGACAATATTTCAGAGTTATACCAATTTTTTTTTATTTAGAATTCACAGATATAATGTGCAGCCTAGTCAAAGTCAGCATGTAATTTAGAAATACACTTACAACATAACTGAAATGCTAGCACAAAAGATGAACCACAGTTAGAGTATTAAATGGTTAATCAGAAATTTAAAAAATGATCTAACCTCTCATAAGTGTTATAGGTATCTGAGGCTAGTTTTTGGGGAAGTCACTTACTGGCTGGAGAACCATCAGAACAAGATCTGCTACTCTTAAGATACCATAAAGAAATGTTTACCCATAATCACAGAGAAAGCTCTTACACAAATATGTCCATTCTAAGACTATAGAGTCAACATAGAAAATAATAGAGATCAATGAAGTATCCCTGCACTCTAAGGTGAGAGGGTAAATGGCAGATCCTACTGAATGTAATCTTAAATAAATAACTATCACTCATAAATCCCCTGCCGTCTACCTCCCACCTTGCTGCTTCCAGGCACTCTATTTTTAGTTATATAAATAAGTGCTTCCTAGTATAATATTAGTTGCTCCACAAAGTCCTCTCGGTTTAAAACCACACACTCTGATAGCGTCTGTTCAACATGAATTTCGGTGCTACAATGTGCCTTTTTCAAGAGCTACCCACCAGGAGAAATCTTGTGGGTATTTAAAGCCCTAAACTCTGCCCCTCAAACAACGTCATGCAACCAGTCCAATCAATCTGTGTGTTAGTGGGGTTGGGTTAGATCGGCAAAGGGGTGGGCTGTGATCAGATTCAAAGCAACACAACTCCTCTGTACACAAGTGTCAAAAGTAGGTCATTTAACCCTTGTGGATACAAACTGACCTAATGAGAGAGACTAATGCTGCAGTTACCTCTTAAGACATATTTACCCAAAAATTGAGATCCAGACCCTATCTATATTCAGTCAGATATTGTGAATAGCCTGGATATCGATCTCAGGCTATCCCAAAAACAGACATTTGTGAAATAATCATCCATATATTGTGACCCAAATATGCTGTCCTGATCACGCCCTTTATTATGTTTTCTTTATTTATTTATATGAATTTTGTGTGAGGTATTCAAAACCTATAAAGACTAAACTGTTTTTCAATTCATTTACTAGTGGTGGTAATTATTTAAGATCTGGTCCTGTTTGCTGTTTTCGCAATTGGAAAAGATCTCTTAAAAGTGTGTTTTGTTCTTAAATTTGGGTCAAGCTCTGTTTATTCACCCATTACATATTACCTATGGGGTGGATTTTGGTCCAACATCTGTAGATCACTTTCTTTCTTATAATAAAGTAGGTTTCAAAACCTGGAATTTTTTTGATCAAAGTGAATAAAATGCTGAGTACGAAGGATGTCAGGTTTTCTATCTAACAAACTAGACAGTAGCATCTAGTGCAAAGATGCCGATAATGCCTATTCGGTTGAACAATTACATTTTCCCAAATCCCCTCCTGACATTAACCAGTCATTCATTAATTTAAAAAAAAATCCATAAGCAGAAAATAAAGACTAGCTGGGAGATTTCCTCTTTGGATAATTATATGAAGAAACATATAATCTCAAGGGAGTTGAGAGTGTGAAACATTCCATATGGCTTGCTTCCCCCTCCCCCCCTTGCATGCCACTCCTAGTTGTAAATTCCTATTAAGTAACGTTTTATCTCTCTTCCTTAGCCCCAAATCATCATCCATCCCTGCAACAAGGCTTTTTAATTTTACTCGGCTCTATGGAGGCTCTATGCGGGATGGGGTGTGAGGAAAAATTAAACACAGCTATTCTGGCCAATACTCACTTGTGATACACATTTAAAAGAGGTCCTTGGCCCAAATCTAGACATTACAGCTTGTTGAGGCAGAAACCTGCACGATCACTTAGTTCACTACTTAGTAGCCACTTTCAAAAGAAACATGCACCTCAGACAACTTGGTTGAGGAATCCCCTGGTTGGCACATTTGGGTAATGTGTTTATAGTAACTCCGAACGTGTATGGGTAGATTAGTAAAATAGTTTTATAAAACTATCGAAATTATTATAATCATTTTACTAATGTGGTGCCATGCAGAGTTTTTTAATAGCATTTCCTCCCCCCCTCTGTTCATTTATCTACCCATATCTACCCATACACGTTCAGAGTAACTATAACAATGAAGAATAAATGAAAATAAACGATCACGATTCACTTCCGGGTTCGTGGAACACAAGATGGAACGCATACGACGCATGCAATGACGTTTTAAACACATAGAGAATGCCGCCAAAATGGAAGTTGAACACCGGCCGGGAATTATTTGATAATTAATTGTATGGGGGATATATAAAAGAACAGTGGGAGGGATAGTTTTTATTGCTGCTATTACTGTTGTATTTGTTTTCACCAAGTCCCTGAGGAAGTCCAATTGTAGGACAAAACGCGTAGGACGCTCCTATGGTGACATGTTATTTGTTTGATACCTAAATGTAAGTTATTAAAATCGTTTTACTATACTCTGTGCACAACATTTTTGTATATATTTTTTTCTTTTGAGCCATATGTACCAATTCACTGATGGAAGTGTGAGGAGGGACAAAACAGTGGACATTGAAGGAAAATATATCATTCAAGGCTGCTTTTACATCAGATAATTTGTGAGTGACCAATTGTGACTGCACATTGTTATTAGCCCCCACACAGTTAAACGCTATGTTTTCTTATCTTATTTATATTTAGCAGACTATCCCCTATTCTATTTGTATCTGTTTGCTGAAGACAATAGGAAGTCTTTGGGGATTTACCTGGATATTTCACCTAAATACAGGGAAGTCCTGGTCTGCTTTAAATTGTATATTTTTCTCACTGGGGTTGTGTTCACATATTCTGTTGTCTGTGTTTGAATCATGCTGGCTCTGCCCCTGATCTGCCTCTTTGTCAGTCTCAGCCAATACTATGGGGATGCACTGTGATTAGATCAGGCTACCACTTCTGATGATGTCAGCAGACTGCTTGTTTTTCTGAGACAAACAGCATGCAGCGTTACAGCTTCAGGCTTGAATACAATAAGATTGTGCTATATTTATGGAGGCATGAGGGGCCCAGGGGGGCTAGATGGTGCTTTTAACACTATAGGGTCAGGAATACATGTTTGTGTTCCTGACCCTATAGTGATCCTTTAAAAACATCACAACATGACTACTTTTAGGAGCAATTTAACAAATTTCTCCCTTTATATTTTATTTCAGTTATGTATATTTTTTAGGGATTATTTGCAACAAATATGAGTATTGGTTGTAATAATCTACAAAACAGAGAAATTACATTTACGTGAGAAAAAAGGTCTCAGAGTGAATATGTGGACATTTAATAAATATATACAGAAATAGAAACAGCTTGCATGATAAGAGATCATGGAAAACATATGTGAAAGGCTAGAAAAAATGGATTTGCTTTCATTAGAAAAAATGTTCCTCAGAGGGAATATGAAAGTACTATAAAACTATATAGAGGGTCAGTGCAGACTGCTATGTTCATAAGCAGGAATATACAGATGTCAACCATCGAAACTGTAAGAAAGACAGCAGAGGAAATTATTTACCTGCCTATAATAGGTTGTGTTATCAGATTTTATAGATAATTTAAAATATACTTTGTTGCATTTTTGCATAAACAGAATGTTCAAAGATAGAATTGATAGGTTGTTGATCCAAGTAGAAATCTGATCATTATGGAGTCTAGAAGGAGTTTTTTTTCCTTTTGTGAAATGTGATTGGAAATGGCTTCATATTGCCTTCTTTTGGATGAACACCATAAAAGAACAGAACCTCGCCACGGGCTTCTGGAGGGGCCTGCTAGCCAGCCTCTTGCCCCGGGACTATGGCACATGTATTAGACCTTGGTTCAGGACTGTGAAAAGGCTTTGTTCATCTCATTTTAATCACCAGGTTCGGTACATGAGATGTACCGAACAGATTAGACTTATGCTATTCATATGCCAAACCAACTCTCGAACAGTTGGACCACCCGGGGGAGTCGTGTGCTGTCGATTGACCCTTGTAACCCTTATTCTCAGCTCCGTAACTCAATGTTCTAAGCAGTTGGCTGGGTGGGTGCCGTTTGTATGGACAAACACGTGGTGGTGGCCATCTTTAGCTGAGAACGCATACAGCGGTGTTTGGTCGTCGAGTGTATGGAACTATAATTGGGCACTTAACGGCACAAACACCGCTGGGAC